ACTTTTATTTTTGCGGCTATAGCCGTCATCGACAGTTAAGGGGTTAACTTCGGCCCATCTTTGATCCATTTACTGCGTGTTTGAAGTTCATTTAAATATTCGAGGTACCAACGTGCCTAAAAATCTTGTCGTACCTTCGATATATGTTGCCAGGTAGACAACCGGTTAACTGGAACACATAATAAATCTCCCTCCGGGAGGGTCGTTAATGGCTTGCCAATTAAATAATGAGCGGGTGTTAACACCATCATGTCATTCGGATCAGATGATAAGGAAGTGATCGGCCTGGAGTTTAGAATACCCTCAACTTCGATAACAAACGTGTTCAATTCCTCGAAAGTGAATAAAGAATCTCCTACCACGCGTTTGAAATGATGCTTGAAAAGCTTCACCGTTGACTCCCACAATCCACCAAAGTGTGGAGCTATCGGAGGTATGAAGTGCCAAACGATGCGGTGTTCGCTAGCAAATTTGTTAATGTGGTCTTTGTGCTTTTCGGAATTGAACAACGCGTACATTTCCTTCAATTGATTATTCGCACCTATGAAATTGGTTCCATTGTCCGAGTAAATGTGTTCTGGCAGCCCCCTTCTAGCAACGAAACGTCTAAGTGATGCGAGAAAACCGTAGGACGTCAGATCACTAACAACCTCGAGGTGGATTGCTTTAATCGACATGCATACGAATACGCAAATGTATACCTTAACACGTGTACGATTGCGGTATTTCCTTTCTTTGATATAAAATGGACCGCAAAAATCAATACCGGTATTAGTAAAAGGGGGTGCTTCGCGTACACGGGCCGGTGGGAGATTTCCCATTTTATATTCGATTGGATTAGCGTCGAACCGGAAACAGCGCATACAACTACGCACGACCTTCCGAACTTGATTACGGCCGTCTAACAACCAGAATCTTTGTCTCAAGAGATACAATGTGGTTTGGATGCCCGCATGGTGATGTGTTTCGTGAATTTCGCGTATAAGATCCGTTACATAGTGCCGGCTTGGTAATAGAATCGGATGTTTTTGTGAGAATGGCAGATTTGTCTTCTGGAGACGCCCTCCAACTCGAATTAAGTCGTTCTCATCCACAAACGGGTTTAAATTAACTATTTTACTCTTGTTTATCGAATCCTTGTTTTTAAGCCTTTTGATTTCAGTGAAAAAACAAGCGGCGTGAAGAATCCTTAGTATTCGTATTTCTGCTTCGTTAATTTCTTTCGCACATATCGCTCCAATGTATTTGTTAGTAAGTCGAAAACGAAGACAATACGCGATGACACGAAGTAGCTTAGAGTATGAAGAGTACCTCTCGAAAATATTGAAGTCGTTAGATATTGATGACAAACAAGTGTTCCTTTTTAACTCGGGTATTTCAATCGCTCGCATGATCTCATTAGGCCATGCACATTCATCCTCTAAAAGCCACGAAGGTCCCTCAAACCACGTCTGATTTTGTAAAAATATGAGAGGTAGTTGACCTCTTGACACCGCATCAGCAGGGTTATCCCCCGATTTAACATGACGCCATTCGATAGAATGAGTGAGCTCGTGAATTTCTACAATTCGATTCGCGACATAAGTCTTGAGTAGGTGAGATGGTGTGTTTAACCAATGTAATACAATTGTCGAATCGCACCAGAACATAATTTTGTTGAACGCGATATTTAGAGTATCATACGTTTCGCGATACAATTGAGCCAGCAATAACGCGCCGCATAGCTCAAGTCGCGGTATTGTAACAGTCTTCAACGGTGCGACCCGAGACTTGGCGCATAGTAATCTAGTTACGGTGCCTTTATGTTTTCCGACCGAACGTATGTACAAACATGCACCGTAACCGAGGTTGCTCGCATCGCAGAACCCGTGAAGTTGAACGTCACCATAATCTTCTACAAATAATTTGCGATTAAAAGAAACCCGATCCATCAATTGCCATTGTCGAACAAATTCCGACCATTCGGTGTATATGCTCTGTGGAACGGATTCGTCCCAATGTAGCCCGCACCGCCACACATCTTGCATTAATTTTTTAGCATGAAGAACAATAGGACCCAATAAACCCATTGGATCAAAAATTTTCGCAATTTCTGAGAGTACGTTCCGTTTTGTTAATTTATCCGTGATCTTGATCGGATAAGCCGAATAATATATTTTGTCGTCCTGCGTGCTCCATGATACACCTAATGTTTTTAGGGAACGATCCGTGTTAAGTACAAAATTTGCGTGTAAGGCGTTGGAAGCTAAGTCGCTAATAATACGCTCATCGTTAGAAGCCCATTGCCTAATGGAAAAACACCGCGAGCAAGTAGCGTGATTACTTCGTCTCTAATCGCCCGAGCTTCGTCAACGGTTCCGGCACCTGATAACAAGTCATCCACGTATAAATGTGATTTGAGAATTTTAGCTGCTCTAGGGTATGTGTGACATTCGTCGTCAGCGAGCTTCTGAATGGTTCGGATAGCAAGAAACGGCGATGAAGAAACTCCGAATGTAAGTGTATTAAGCTGGAATGTTTCCACATTACCGCCTCTACGCCACAGAATACGCTGATATCGACGATCGTCTTCGTGTACGAGTACTTGACGATACATTTTCTCGATATCTGCGGTAATAACATAATTATAAGTCCGGAACCGAATCAAGTGCGAAAAAAGTTTATCTTGGATAGTGGGACCTACCATTAACGTATCATTTAAGGAAACACCGTTACTCGTCTTAGCCGATGCATCAAACACTACTCGTACCTTGGTGGTGTGGCTCGAATCTTTAATCACCGCATGATGAGGCATATAATATCCATTCTCACAGGGAGCCTCTACCAGAGACATATGCTTTAAATTTAAATATTCTTCCAACACCCTAGTATATTCGATCTTTAATGTCGCATTCGCATCAAGTTTACGTTCTAATGCCGATAAACGTTTAAGCGCAATAATCCGCGATTCGCCAAGACGTTTATTTATTTTGCGAAACGGCAAACGAACTATGTAACGCCCATCATGACTCCGAGTGACGGTATTCGTAAAGTGTGCTTCGCATGTAATTTCCTCCGATTTCGGTTTGTCTCTCGTAATTTCTTCGATAAGCCAGAATTTCGCTATTTGATTTTCTAAGTTCGTTAAATAGCATTTCGACGCACACGATGGAGATTGTAAGGACGTGCTACCGGCTATTATCCAACCCAGACGCGTCTTTTGTAAATATAGATCGCAACCTTCATGGGATAAATTAATCTGACCGACTGAGAACAACGACAATGTAGCCCCTGAACCGATTAATAAGTCGACAGGACGTGGAAGATGGAATTCTGGATCCGCCAAATTAATGTTCGAAGGTATTCCGATCGAATTCCGCGGGAAGATCTCCGACGGAATCAAATCCGTAATAGCTGGAATCGTTAAGCATGTAAGATCCTTGCAAAAACTATCGCGTATAGACTGTATGGTGATTTGCACTATGCCTCTAGATACGGTACTCATAGAGTTAATCGCGCCAATCGGTAACGAATGTGCCATTACATGAAGATCTAATTGTTTCACGATGGACTCAGAAATGAAGTTTGCGGTAGCGCATGTATCCAACAAAGCACGACATTTAATAAGCTTTCGTTTGCGATCACGAATGTATACTAATGCACTCGTTAGTAATTGGGGACCAGATACTTGTGATATTGACGTGAGGCTCGTGGCTCTGTCGGGAACCGAATCGGCTAGTCATTCAGTTTGTGTATTTTCAGATTTCGTAGTATTTGATTTGTTTGTAGCCGCGTATTTATCGAGGTGTAAAAGTGTGTTGTGTCGTTTTTGGCAAATCGTACAATTAGAAAATTTACAAGGGGTATCTCGATGGGATCTTAAACAATTGTAACAAATCTTAGCATTTTTAACCGTCTCAATACGTTTATGTACTGGCAATTGTTTAAATTTGTCGCATAAATAAAGTGGATGACGTTTAACCTTGCATGCTATGCAATTACGCGTGTTTGACGAATTTAATACGAAAGCTTTATTTGAGAAGTTGCTGCGTTTCTTCTTAACCGGAATTTCATCTTTACCTTTCTCTTGTTCCGATATTTTCGATCTTTCACGTTTAGAAGCACAAACTGCGGTTTTATATAAAAATTCATACAATAGATCCAGATTCGGAAATTCGTCTCTCTCAAGAGTCGCTTGCCATTTTTCCAACGTATTCTTTGGCAATTTACTTTCCAAAAGATGTACAATTATTTCCGGGCTGAGCGAAACTCCTAAAGCATTTAACGACGCGACGTGTTGTTGAGCGTCATCCGCGAGCTTAGATAAACCACTAGTAGTTTCCTGATCTATCGCGGGCAAATTAATAATCAATGAAAGATGACGTGAGATTAAAATCCGCTTAACCTCGTAAGAGCGTTCTAGTAATTCCCATGCCTTAACATAATTCATCCCGTCGATCGCGAAAATCTTAATTTTGTTAGCAGCATCAGCGATTAATGCCGATTTTAGGTAATGTAATTTATCTACATCCGATAAATTCGCTTGCGAGCCGATCATATTTTGAAATGCGTTCTTGAACGATAACCAATTCTCATATTTACCGTCAAAAGTCGGTAAAGGAGCCTCGGGTAATTTGAACCGCCGTTTCTTGACAGAAGTTACGGATACTGCATTTTCGCTTTGAATTTCCTCGTTTGTTGTACCTGCGCTCGCCTCTGATATACTCGCTGTATTCAAAATATCCTCAATCTTACCAGCGAGGGAATAGAACCGATCTTGAATGTTAGTGAACTCTTCTAGATGTCCATCACTCGGATCTAAGACTATAAGTTCATCATTAAAATCTTCGAATGCGTGATACAAGACCGTTAAACGGTTAATTCGCAATCTTAAATTGGCGTTATTAAAGCTACCTTTGTCGACATGATTATAACATTCGCGAGAAATAGTTTCGATACAAATGAACAAACTTACGTTTAAATAGCCGTCAAGTGTAGTTAAAACTTAAGTTCTGTATGTGAGTTGTTTACCTCACAGGAGGCACCAAAATGTTATGTGATCAGTATAGATATTACTCATATCTACGCCGTATTTTCGTCTTGAGCCTTATTTAATGTGTGATTAATAAATACAGAAAACAGTTGAAAAAATTGTTTTAATAAAGAATGTAAAAGTTAAACAATAAAGCAGAAAATGACAATTAAGAAGAGAACGCAAATACGTATACATACATGGATCAGTTGCGCATAGTATCTGACTTCGCTTAATGGCTGCTGTTGATTATTTCGCTTAGGGGCTGTTGCCCTGAGTAGTGAGAGCGGTAAGCGACGACGCCTAGGGGACTATCGCCCTGAGTCGCTACCTGATTGTGCGGATGCGACAGCGCCTAGAGGTGTAGACCTTGGGTCGCTTTGGCTTGACACACACTTTATTTTATGTTTACAATTATGTCCTTTGTAAAGAGTCTAAATGTTTATCTCGAAGGAAAAGCAAAGTCTCGAGCGATTCTTCGTAGCCACGTAACCGACATGTACATCGAAATAAAGAAGAATAATAGAATATCGGCCGTGACAACGAAGGATCGAAAACGCCGGAGCAACATCTAGCGAGCATTAAAACTCGTCCCTAAGATACCAAATTATTAGGAATTATTTATTTGTACATATAATTAATTGATGCACTTATAGGTGAATGTGT